ATTCTGCCACACTGGTCACCAAGATTATCCAGATGTTTTATCAAAGAGAGTCACTGTAACAGACCAAATCCAAACTGGTTGCAATGAGGTCCAGCAATGTGTGTGCCAAAGCCAGGCAGCCCACCATCTGCCCCTTTAGATGTTTTCTCCACATTTTTAGAAGCACTCTTTTGCTTCTGTCTGCAATGTCCAAGACTCCCTTTTTCCTTGCTAGATACAGGACATCGTGAGAGGGCACCCATATAGTCAGTGAGACAAAGCATTTGTCTCACCCACCTATATGGGTAAAAGCATCCCTCAGTCAAAGCGAAGCCTGCAAGACATTCCATCTCTTCCAAAATAAACAGCTGCAGAATTCTGGTGGACAATATTTCAACCCAAGCACAGAGGGCTGACATCCCATACAGCACATACTACTCGAGAGCCTCCAAGTTGAATTCAGCTAGGTCTTGTTGCCTGCCATGCGCATCCTTTATTGGCAGGCTGCAATAAAGGGACAGTGGCAGGGAATGCAGAATTAGGCTTAGTCACACATTATACAGAGCCCAGAGATCACAGTGCAGGTGGACATGATGTAGGGGAGAGGAAGCATTCATCCAACAACTAATCAACGTTAATTTATTATTTCTTTCTTATTACCCCAAGAGCAGCAACCCCCCCAAAATATCCTAAATAAATGAGAGTGGTCTCAGATGTCACCACATTTTCTGACAAGAGGAAACTCCTCCTAGATTCCAGCAGGAAGAAGTGGCAAGCGGACAAAATCAAATCTTAGCCCTTGCTTCTGATCCGGGCAGGAGGACACCAAGACTCACCTGTTCTGGTAGCTGTAGTAGGCAGCATCTCGGGGGATAGTGCACAGCTGCTTGCCATAGCAGCACAAAGTCTGAGGAGAAAACTCGTACTACAAAAGAAAAAGAATGGCAAAGAGAACAGTTTGCTACATGAAAGAACTACACATATGCACAAGCAATAATACTTTCATGCAGTACAAATGATTAGTTTAATGTTTGCTTTAATATCTCATAGGACACCCAAGATACCTTCTCCTTTCCTTACAGAGGAACTGGAAGAAGGCCCATGGAGGACACTCCGTTCTTGCAGGTTCTACTTGTATAATAAACATCTCAGGACTTAAGAAACAAGTCTGCAGTTCCCTAAAGTAAGAAAAAGAATGGCAAAGAGAACAGTTTGCTACATGAAAGAACTACACATATGCACAAGCAATAATACTTTCATGCAGTACAAATGATTAGTTTAATGTTTGCTTTAATATCTCATAGGACACCCAAGATACCTTCTCCTTTCCTTACAGAGGAACTGGAAGAAGGCCCATGGAGGACACTCCGTTCTTGCAGGTTCTACTTGTATAATAAACATCTCAGGACTTAAGAAACAAGTCTGCAGTTCCCTAAAGTCATTAAAGAACCTAAGTACAATGTCATCTAATAAGAATGCAAAAATTAGCTGCTGTCTTACTAATGTTACTTTTATTAATCAATCTGTATTGTAAGAATATTACATGAATAAGGAGTTGGATGCTATTTTTAATCCCCTCCTAATAGCTGGGATATTCAGTTTTAAAATACATAAAATAAATGGATAGAAGCACAACATTCTAAATTAAATATATAATTTCATATAAAATGCTTGGAATACTGATTTTTATGGCATTAAAACACTTTAGCATTACCTAAAACTTTTTCACTCATACGTACAGCAACTACACTATTCATTCTACAGTTAATTTACACATAGTATGTACATTATTTTACACTCAGTGTAAAGTAATTTAGAGCCTCTTTTGGAAAAAACATCAAAAAGGCCTCACTTGCTCAGCTGGGGCTCATATAGTCCAGAAATGATGGGCATATCAAAACCAGCTGAAGGAAATACAGCAGTTTATATTTCCCTCTCAAAAGTGGAAGAGAAGCTCATTATTAAACTGATTTTATAATTGTAAGATTTCTGTAAAACTAATACATAATTCTCATAAATTCATCTATTCATTACAAGAGTTTTGATAAATTCCTTTATTTACATTACATATTACTCCTGCTCAGAACCTTACAGGTTAAAACAAGACTCTGGGCAAAATGAGAAAAATCCTTTTCATTTATAAACTTATTTTCATAGGTACAGTGAAACCAAACACACCTTGCGGCCACAACAGTATCCTAAGGACTGCATAACAGGGTCAATTTCTTGTTCAAAGACCTCTGCAAGCTTAGTGCAAAATTTATAGACTCTTGATGTTTTGCGGTTGTAAAGCCAGGCATTATTGAACATTAGCCAGACATCATCCACATACTGCCACGGCTCTTGGTATTGCCCTGTATCCAACTTGCGTTTAATTGTGGAAAGATCCATGGGGTTCTTCACAATGTCAAAATAATCCTTTGAATGTAAAAAAGAAACAAAGAAAAGAAAAAAGAAACATTAGGTTAGCTTGGCAGTTGAAATTTTTTAACTGACTATAAGAGTTTATGGGCAGAGTCTGAAGACAAGTGTCCCTTTTCCAATGACTTCCAGCTTTTGTCAATGATGTATAAAATACTAGCTAGGTAAAAATGCATGGCAGGTCCTGGAGCAAAAGAGGCTCCATTATAGGAGAGGGAAGAGAAAAGAGTAGAAATGCTGCTCTTGTGTGCAAACTTCCTTTCCTTTTTTGATGGTGGTAGAACTGGGCATGCACCCCTTTCTTCAGCTCAAAACAGGCAAAGTTGGAAACAGGACAGCTGCTGGTAGAACTCCTGGAACCAGCCATGTGGGCTATCTAATCTCTTAACTTAGGAAAACTGCAATTTAACAGTCAGAATTCTAGGCCAATCTGGCCAGACAGTGGTATACGTTTGTAAAAGGAAGCAATTAATTTACTGGTCATTTCCTTTATCAAGCTTCCAAAGTTTCCCTCTGGAAGATTCTCCTCTTGATTCAAGAATGATACCAAGGAGAGGAGGGGCTTCTCTCAGTTCCCAGGCCAATTCCTGAGCCTGGAAGAAAACCCCACTTCCCCACTCAATAAGAGAAACCCTCCCTTTCCTCATCTTCTGTCACACACTAGATACATCCTTTTGGAGGATACCTCCATTAAGGTGGCAACAAAGCACCTAAAGAATATATCCATAAAATAAATGGATTGTGCACTGCCTTGTGTCATTCTGGAGAGGGCAGCTATATAAATTGACTAAATAAATGAATAAAAACCCCATCCCTCCCATTCCTGGCTTTAACCACTTAGGAGTTACTTATTTATGCTTAGGAGTTATGTTTAGATAATCATCAAAGAGAAATCCTATAAGTTATGGAACTAGCAGAGTTGACCAAATTTTGAGGGGCAGGGGGAGAGAACCTTAAATGTTTTTGACAGGGACACGGGATAGATTTGCTGTATTGACACAAGAAAAGCCACCAGAGAGATAGAAATCCTGGAACTCATAAATAAGTTTGTTTGAGCAGAATGAACCTCACTGGGACTTCGGGGGGACCAGAATCCAGGAAAAAGAGAAAATTGAAGGTTTTTTTTAAAGATCTGTGTAACACTATCCTTTCTTGCTTTTTCCAGAAAAGGCAAAACAATGAACTCTGATCTACAGTTCAAACTGATTGTGGAAAAAGAAGCAGCATATGTAAGGATACATGATGACAGCTTTACCCCACTGGCCACCAGCTATGGTACACCCCTTATATTTTGTACAACCAGCAATTGCAAAATTAATTCAATTCCTTGAATTCACCTGTCAGAATTTCTACTTAAGAGACAACTACTTTGCTGTCTTCAGCTCTGGCAAAAAGTATATACCTGTGAGTATGCACAGATGAACATGTCTAAATTTGCACGTATTCTGTGCATGCACATTTACTGTTTGAATGTATGTAAATCTACTCTGACACTGAAGATCTATTATAATAAGCTGGTTGGTTAAACTAATCCCAAAGTCTACTATGTAAACAGATTGACTGACATAGTTCTAAAATACATTCCCAGTTGGATTTGGACTTAGCCGTCTTGCTTTTGAATAAAGATCTCATGCCCTCTGGTAGATGGCCCTTGTAGCCACACAACTCAAAGAAATGAGAATGATTAATTCTTTAAAATCCTGCAACCCCAACTGCTATGCTGACTACCTTCCAGGTTGGCTTGTTGATACCCAATAAAAAAGTAACTCCTAAGTGGTTAAAGCCAGGAATGGGAGGGATGGGGTTTTTATTCATTTATTTAGTCAATTTATATAGCTGCCCCCCTTCATGGATCACTGCCTTGTCGTGGCGAAGGGGCTTGCGTAACTCAGTGAAGC